TTTTTTTTTTTTTTTTTTGTCATAATGTGAAATTCCTAGACACTTAAAGACGGTAAATTCCTTCTTTCTAGGTAAATGATATGCTTTTGATTTCTGTCCTCACTCCCAGCTTTTTAAATTAGAATAGACTGTTTTCTCTGTGTTACCTCCTTTTCTGGTTTCAGTCTGGCTTGCTTGCTGGACTCCGTCTTCCCTTGGGTGGTAGTGCCGATTTGTAGTCTGAAAAACAGGCAACAGGGCACAGGTTCATTTCTCAGCAAAAGGGGACTGGGTTATCTTCATATAGATAAAATCTAGAAATAAAAATAAGTATGTTAGATACATTTATTTTTATTTAAATTTGTGTGGAAGAAGAAAATGGACTGCTGAAAGAGAGTTCCATTTCCAGTTTCAATAGTTTCCACATTGTTCTCAGTGTAGAAATGCAAAGAAGAATTACAATCTTTTTCTTGTAATTTCTTTTAATTTCTCCCTGCTAACAAGAAATTTTGGACACCGTCGATTCAGTGCTGATTAGTGAATCGCATTTCAGTGGACAGTAAGATAACCAAAATCTGGGACTTTCTTATTGAACAAGAGGGATTAATATTTTGCTAAATTGAGAGCAACTGTGAGGGGACATCAAGCAATTGAAATTTCATTTTTGTGTTTCTGAATGTTTTTGACTGTTCAGAACTTAATTTCAGTGTTTATCTTTTTAACAGTTTGGATTTAGATGGAGACATGAGAAAGAAGTAGTTTCTGGAAAAGGTAATACAGCCTTTCTTTTGGTGTTATAATCCTACTTGATTATTTTCTGTTGCTTTTTGGCTTTCTTGTATGACAAGATTAAATCATTAGTATATGTATTTTTGTCCATATCCTGGAAATTGTAATAGTTAATCATACTTAGCACTTCCTTCTTCATATCATTTTGTACTTCACAATGTTTACTGATCTACAGGAATACAGAAATAATGAGTATTGTCTGTCTTTGCAAAATTTTTGTAGCAAAAAAACTTCATTATGCTTTTCCAGTGTGGAATTCCATGAGCGTGGCTCTTACATGAGACTAGTCAGTGAATAGCAGTTGATTCTGCACTACTTATTACTTTGCACTCAGATTCAGGTTACTGAGCACTTCCCATCTTAAGATCCTTTTTTTCAGTTTCTAAAACTTCACCAGGCTTTAGGCTGCTGGTGATACCGTGTACAGTTCCTGTAAACCCTGCCTCTCCACCAACTTCAGCAAAAATTTATAAATCTTAATTTAGCTATGCTCTACTAAAGACTTGCTAGCAATTATAGTAGCTCTATTTTCTGAAGATTTTGTCTGAACTGAATTTGCTTTAGCCCAAGACTGTAGGGGCTAAGAACTTCCCCTTCAATTGCTCTTCCAGCTCTTCAGGTCACGATGGTATCGTGCACAAGAACCTAAGAACAGACTATCTTTTCTGTATTCCCAGTGCTGCTTCTGCTGGCATCCAGGCAATAGGAAGGAGGAAACAACTGAACTTGGATGTAGAGCAGTGATTCTTAAGTAGGGTGTTGTGAGATCCTTTTAAGGGTACTGCAAGATGCCACTCAACATTAGCATTGTTAAGTGAGTGAACACCTACATATGATTGACAAGATAAACCCAGGGATTTCAAATAGGAATTTATAGTGTAAAACATCCTGACCTGTTGTGGTCTTTCTGAATTCTTTACACCAGAAGAATTGCTCTGTTATTTTTCCATTGTGAAAAATACAAGTGAAACTAAGAGCTGGCATTTTCTGAGAAATGCTTTGAGTCTAAAAAGATTGCAAAACACTGATATAAAGTAAGATAACCTGGAATTGTCTGCATTTGAGGCGTCCTCTACACATTACAGGTATCACACCGCTAACTCATTAATTGCGCAATTACCTTGGCTAATTACAGACATTTCAGGAGATTAAACTGGATGCAAAATGACTTCCTGATTTAAACTTAGCTCGTTTCGGTGCTGACCTTACACTTACAGAGCCAGTCTCAGTGACCAGCAATCACTGGTTAGAGGTTTAGAGTCTAAACCTCTAACAGTACAGAAGTTCCATGAAAACAAACTGGTCTAAAAATTACAGAACCTGGTTTAAGATAAATCTGGATCTACGTAGTATCAAACGTATTCGATTTAGGTCCAACCAGTGCATGGAACTTTCTCTGTGCAGCTCCTGGTCTGGGAGAACCTAGCCACTGGCCTCAGCCCTGGGGCTGCTCTTTTCACACCCTGCCCCACACTGGGCTATTTCCACCCCAGCCCCTTGCTTTCTTTCCCCCAGCCAGCCAGCCCTCTCAACCTCCATTCCACAAGCTGCTCTGGGTGCAGCCACTTTTATCAGTGTTTGCTACTGCCGGAGCCAAGCAAATAAGTCCCAGTGGCGGGAGGGGGAGGGGCAGGAGGGATGGGGGTGTAGGTTCATTGGAGGGGAACCCTAGCCCACCCACTCCACCCATGTGTCGTGCCTGCCCCGCCCACCTTACCTGTGGGTCATGCCTCCCCCCCCCCATTCCTGACAGACCCCCAAGCTCCTCCAGCCTGATGGACCTCTAACCCCCTGCTAGCGCCTCCATCCTGACTTACCTGATATTGGGCAGCCATTTTGATCTGATTTAACCTTACCCTAACGCCCCAGAATGTCTGTACTTGAGACCAGCTACATATGCAGAGTACTTAGCACCATAATAAAAAGCTCCAACCAGCTCTAAAGTTAGACCTTGAAAATGTGTACTAACTTTAAAGCTGGTTGGTATTGAGCTTTAATTGGCGTGTGTAGCAGGCTCTGCCCAGAGTTCCACAGCAGCAGATTCTGGGTGCCCACAGCATGCTTCCCAGTGGTACAGCGGCAGGGTGCAGCTATAATCTCCCAGCCTTGGGGGTGCCTGAAATCCCCTAAGGTGGGAAGATTGCTGCAGTGGCTATCTCTTCCTGAGAGGTGCTTGAAACCCCTGGGGCCAGGGAGATGGCTGCTGTGGTGATCTCTCTGCCCCAGTGGTTTCCTGCACTCTCAAGGCAGGGAGGTTGTCACAGCAGTGATCTCCCAAGAACAGAGGGTGCATGGGGATCCCCTGAAGTTGGGAGTCTGCTCAGCTGAGGGGGCTTCCAGCTGTGAGAGCTTGTATTGGGCTTCCCCTGCACCAGCAGGGAGGTGCAATGAGATCTAATGCACAATCCCACAATTGCACTTGCTACAATGCGACTTGGCAGAAGGAACGATTGTGTGAATTGTGCATTAGATCCAGATGCACCTTTACCTGCATGTGCAGAGGGGGCCTGAGAGAGGGCAGTAAGAAGTAAATAAGAAGTTAGGGGATATCTTCTGTATCTTGTGCAGTGAAGAGACTGATGTTGACAACTAACATGCAGTAATATTTGTTATATGAGGTTCTTCAGACAACTCTTTTCTCCTTAAACTTTTTTAATGTTCAAAACTAAATTTTCTTATTTACAAAGTGGTTCAGATGTTAAACATTATCTCTCTTTATGTTGTAAAAGCCTAGTCTAGTCTCTACTATTTCATTGCCTTGTTTTTCCTCCACAAAAACCTATTTTATTCAGGATATGAGACTTACAGATACTTTTCTTCCCGTGTCCTTTGAAACAATGAAAAAGTTATGTAAATTGTTACTGAAAATTAGGAAAGTTTGAGGAACCTTATTTGCTTATTTGACCTTAATTAACTAAGGTCATGGGCAGACCTTATATTTGGAGCACTACAGAAAGGGCTGCTGATGTTGCTCTGACAACTGCCACTCCTTGAGGCAGCAGTGGCAGAGAAGTCAGTTGCTGCTGCTGCCAGGGTTTTGGGGACAGTTCCTGTCCTGGCCACAGCTAAGTGGCAGAAAAGATGGCTGCTACTGCTTCGGGGACAGCGGAGACAGCTGGCACTCATATGCAGCAGTGGCACAGACAGCTGCTACTTCCGGGGCACTGGGACAGTAGCTGGGAGCTGTCAGGGCAGCTGGTTCTGCATGCAGCAGCATATGTTTGAGGAATTAATGTGGATGTTTCTCTCTGCACAGTCATTCTAAAGGAGCTATTGTGAATTGCAGAGTTTAATTTCTCCATTCTCTGTCTGAAAGAAAAATCAGGAATCCTGTCATTTGCAAGTGACTAATTTCTTTGGAGTCTACTGAATGAGTGATTTTCATCAGGTTGTTTATGTGAATGATTTATATTTTGTTCTTATGCAAACAGTGGAGGGTGCAGAGGAATAGGAATAAAGTGTTACTAACTTTATAAAATAAGTTGTGATTCCAGAAGTTTTAGATATTTTTCTTAATAATGTTTTAGAACTTCATCTAATGCTGTCTGTGACGGGGCAGCTCTTGGGGCTGAATCTCCTGCTGGCCCGCCCACCTGTCTCTACGGGGCAGTCTGCCCAATCTTGCCTGCCACAAGTTCGCTGTTTCCATAAACTGATGGTATCATGCAGGAGACTGCCCCGAAGCCAGGGAGTGCTATCTGCAGCTCCAAACCTCCCCTACACCACAGCCCATGTCTTGCAGATGGCATCCAGATTAGTATTGCTCCCTGGTCTGACACCGGAGCAAATCCAGTCCAAAATTGGACTCCATTCACCCATGTATTCATGCCACATCCCCTGGAGGCCTCTTACACTCTGCCCTCCTCTCACCGGGGCCTCTGGCATACCACCCATTACAGGGCCACACTCCACTGCCCTGGATCCTCCTTGAGTGACCCCTCTTGGGCCATCAGGCTTTGCTACTCGCATATTGGTTTTGCCACTCAGTCCTTGAGTTCCCATGAGTTCCCCTACACTACGTGGTCCAGCCTCGTGCCAAACCCTGGGCTGATTCTACCCCAAGCTCCTCACTGGACAAGTCTACATTACGCCCCACTCTGGGGTCTCTGTCTCAAGCTTGCAGCCAAGTTCACACAGGGCTGGCCCTTGAGCTGGCCTTTAGGCTTACTCCTATTTGGCCTTACTCAGCCCCCTCACACACACAGCCCTTCAGGCGTACTCTGACGTCAGCCCTACTCTGTATGGGGCCTCTCAATACTCTACTCACTACTAGGGTCTCTGGGATCTTGCATCACTGCTGGGTTCAGGTGGCACTCCGCTGGCAATGCCTGGCCCCACAACTGCCTCCAAAGCCCACCCAAAGGCAGGGGTGGGTTTAAGGTGCCCCTTCTCGCCTTTCACTGGGAAGGTAACTGGCCTGGCATTTCCTGGGGGCTCCCATGTCACTAGGAGCCCCATCAGGCCACCCTTCCCTGGCAGGGTGCAGTTTTAGGTCATGCCCAGGACCAAGAGCCTCCTGCTCTTGCCTCTAGTTGTTCCATGCCACACAGCCAGGCAATGTTTGTTTCTGCCTGACCTGGCATCAGTAAACTGTTACCTAGGGTTCCCAAAATGGCTGCTCTCATCAGGCACCTGGTAGTTGCCTGCCTCTGCCCTTAAAGTGGCAGGCACCCAAAAGTGCCCTGCCACACTGTCCTAAAGTGCACTATTTTTGTTTCATTTAAAGAAATCATGCTTACAGGTTCAGTTATTGCTGTCTTTTTAGTTTGAGTGATTGAACTGAAACTCTTGTAGACTAGTATAACTCAGCAAATAGAACTATTTATTTTGTAGCCGAGTTCTCTTAGGATGCTATCTATAATTATTTAATGAAATAAACCCTCCGAGGGTAGCCATTGGTTGCCATCACTCGGTGTTTCGAGTAACAAGGACAATAAACAGAATGTGTTAGTGAACACATAAAATTGTCTCATTTTGAAAATTATATGTGGTGACTAGTAGGCCTGTGTGAATCAGCAAGTATTTGATTCGGCTTCGGCTGATTTTGGAGGGACAGTGATTTGATTCAACGATTCAAATCACTCTCGATTCGATTTGACCAATTTGGATTCAGAGATTTGGCCGCTGAATCTCTGAATCGAACAGGTGGTGGCAGCAGTTGTGTAGTGGTGGTGAACAGGGCCCCAGAGTCCTCGCACTTAAAAAAACAAATTTAAAAAAAAAATCCCAAAAAAGACCCCACACTCACCGGCTGCGGCAGTGGCGATTGGGGCCTTTGGGGGCTTGACAGAGCCCCCCCGTGCCACAGGGGGCAGTGGGGATTACCCCCCCTCCCCCCTGCCTGGGACCTGCATAGCAGCTGTCACATAGCACGAGTGCAGCACAGCTTGGCAGGGTGCCAAGTACTGTCCTGAAGCTGGGGTGGCTCCAGCACTCACCTGGAGCCCGGCAGTACTGGGCCTGAGCAGCCCCAGCTCCCAAAGAGGATGTGGAGCCCTGCTGAGGCGCGCACTACACCTTCACGATCCAACAGTTGCCATGCGAATGCCAGGCCGGGGGGGGAGGAGGGGGGCTCTGCCATTAGCCCCCAGAGGCCCTAATCACCACTGCTGCAGCCAGTGAGCATGGGGCTTTAAAAATATATATATATATTTTTGGGTGCCAGAACACTGGGACCGGCTGGGGCAGCCATCGGGGTGCAGGGGGAGCAAGCGGGCAGTGGGGCGGGATGGGGGGAGGCTCAAGGAGGCTCGGGGAACTGACAGGGGATGGGGCCAGGTGGAAGTCCCCCCATGGTTCCCTCCCCCTCCTCCAGCCCCTGCTGGAGCCCAGCATGGAGCCCAGGTCCAGCTCCCTGCAGCAGCAAGCGGGGACCACCCGAACCTCCGAATTGATTTGGAGACTTCCAACTCAATTTGAACCTTTTAATGTATCTCTCAATCCGATTTGGATTTGGAGATTCGGCCCCTGAATCGGGCCAAATCTCTGAGTTGAATCAGATACTGAAGTTTTGCACATCCCTAGTGTCTAGGGACTTTCATTACATTGTACTTTTGTCTTCAGAATTTATATACCTGTCAAATATAATATGTATACCTCTGAATTTGAGGCATGTACAACTTTAAGTATTACTGTTTATTATTTCCAGCTTTATGTTAAGAGTAACTTTTAACTCTCTAGGAATTTTAGTTTAAGCATTTGATAAATTGATATACTTAATTTAAAATACTAGTATTTTTCTGTATTCAAATAATGAGAGAAAGCTAGGAGCTGACATATTTTCTAATGAGTTGAAAAGGTTGAGAACCACTTTCATAAAGACAATAATTTAAGATGTATTGAGCAGAAATGTGGTTCACCACTAAGGGGCACAAGAATTCAACATTACAGAGTATAGTAGTGATTTTCTTTTTCCACGTGAAGTTGTTCAACAGCTCTTTTCTAAAAACTTTGTGCAGTGTATATTTTATTAGGATTCTCAAATTTAATTTAGTAGTATTAGGTAAATTACTGAATTGGAGTATAACTTTTTCATATCAACATGATTAGTTATGAATACTTGCTAACTGGCATTAAAAAAGGTCATTTCTTGCAAAATCATCAGCTTGACATGGGTTTTTATTAAGACCTCGGAAATAGTAGTGATAAAGACAATTTATTCTAAGGTTATGGTTTGTGAGTAGGAAGTGGGGGGAGGTGGTTGTGAGGGGAGGAAATATATTTGTTGAGGCTTTCTATCTTTTCCTATTTTCCCCTGGTTTCAGTATCACTTACATTTCTCCTATAAAAACCATGACTGTACCTTTTTTAATTCAGTCACCTTCATTGGGTACTGAGAAGGAAAATTATGTTTGGTGCCCTAAATATGTCTTCAACTAAATCAGATAAAGATGTAGCCCTAATTACTATTAATAGTTGTAATTTATATGCCCAGTTTCAGTAATATACTATACAAAAAAAACGCTCCTTTGACCCAGGTCATATATGTGGGCAGAATTTGTACTTTAAAACAAGGTTGTCCAACTTTGCAGGAGCCAGGGGTCACAAATGGTATTTGGCAGAGTGCCACATGTGGAGGGGACAGCCTCTTTCCCCAAAACCCTTCCCCAGCATATGAGCTGTGCCAGCAGCATGTGACCTTGCCATCCCCTGCAGCCTGCAGTCCCCTCTGTCAAGCAAGCTGAGCAGGCAGCACATGGATCCTTGGGCCCTGCCCTGCTATATGGCAGCAGAAGAGGTGGTTCTGGGACTCATGGGCTGCATGTTAAGTGCTGCTGAGCCTCATGCAGCTTACAGGCAGCCAGCTGGACAGGCCCGCTTTAAACTCTCACTAACCTTTTGCAATACAAGAAATGAGAGAGCTTTTTTGACTATGCTGTGCAGTAGGAAACATTAATATTTTTCACTTTCTTAAATTATTGCCCAACTTTTAGATACCATATGGTACATACTAGGCAGCTAAGATGGAGAAGGCCCTAGATGCACATTAAATCAAGTGGAACTATGTTATTTCAAGGGAAAGTGCTTAAATCCCCAAGGAGCATTTCATAGTTAAGAGAAATGGTTACATGTCTTAACTGTGAAGAAATATAAGTATATATCTTAGCATGTATAATTACATAAATATAATGTAGATAGATCATGTAGAGATAAGAAATAATACTTTTAAAGTTTGTATGCACAGAAGATTTAAGTGCAAAAATGAGCTAAGCACACTAGACATTTTCTGAAATGCATTGCTTTCTGTACTCTGTAAAAAAAAAAAAAAAAATGTGTTTTAACTACTAAACTGAGTTTCTTTTGTACTTTTAAAACACAAAAAATTATTGACTATGGTTTAAAATATATTTGAAGCTATTTACAGAGATATTAGATTTTTTTTTTTTTTTTTTTACTTCAAGTGTATTCTCTGTAAAGATTTAGGTAACATAATTTCCTTGGCAGAGTTGATCAGACTTCAATATATCATTAATATGTAGTAAAAGGAAAGATTAACATTCAGATTTTTCCTTATTTTACTTCTGTTATTAAAAGTGTATAAGTAATATTGACAAGTTCACCAAAGCAACTGTATTGTCCTGCATACCACATGTCCCCAAATAAGATACATACCTTGTTTTTTTGGTAAGGCAGAATGACGAAAAAAGACGTTTCCAGAGCTGCATGGAGCAGGGACAGAGCCTAATCTTCAGTTTGTTCACCCTTCCTTTCCAACTCAGGCAAAAGCTACATTTTTTAATACTCTTAGAGCTGCTGCCTAATTGCAGCAGTTCTTGGCTGCTTAGTCAAAAACTGTTGCCAATTCTGCAGTGTGTGTGGAAAAGGTTAAAAATAATCGCTGCTGAAGACCACATTTGCCCCTGCCTACATATGGCTGGCTGAGGGGGAGAGAAAGAAAAGCAACAGCAGTGATTTTTACAGTGTCTCTAGTTTTATTTCAAGCAGAAAAATTAGTTTTCACGTGTTGAGTCTTAATTTTTTTATATCGCTTTAAGGAAAGAAATAAGATTCTGAGAGTTTTAGAGCATATATTCTTTGCCCGGAATATTAGATGGGCGTGTAAATTAATCAGTAGTAGGAATGTTATTTTTGCATATAACATACTTGACATATCTTGTAATAATATAAGATATACACATCTGACTGGCATTTTCTTATCTGTTACCCTGCACTAACTATATAATTAGTATATAAGTATTAATAGCTTAATGATATTCAGTTGATCATTAGGTGTGCATACAGACATTTGGGGAGGCTGAGGGGGGTTAGATGGATCTAAGGCCACCTGATCTAAGGTGAGTCAGGATGGGGGCCACTAGTGGGGGAGGCTTGGGGGAATCAGGGGGGCAAGCAGGGTC